CGTCCGCAAAAGAATGTGATATGTATGATATAGCATATGTGATATATCGGATATCTATGATATACGTGTAGTACATCGTATGTTGACCATGTGTAATGTGGTGGATTCTTCACAGCGTGCCATCTAATAAAAAGAATCAAAAAAGATATGCCTCACCAGTGGCGCCGGACATTTCCTACTCCTTCTTCAACATCGCAGCAGCATCGTTCATTTGAGCTAATCGTGAAAGCAATAATCTTTAAGCGCAGTGAAATCCTCAGATTCTGACAGAAGAATTTGTAAGACTTCGTAGAATCTAAAAAACGGCTACTTAAAAAAAGATGGCTATTAATTAATTCAATAGTTTCGCAAGTGCTTCATTACTTCAAAAATCCTTTCAAACCAGGGTAATAAATGTGAGCCAAAAAACAATCTAGGAGTTGATAGAAAAATTTGCATACTGTAATTCTAAAAAAAAATGTCAAACAATCCCCTTTGGATAAGGTAAGCGCCCTGTGAAAGCCAAGCACCCTCCATTTCTTCATTTTTAGGATGTAGGATGAAAGTCCTTCCCTAAAAGAATCAAGCTTCTTATCGAAGTCGGCAATTTTCGAGCAGCTGAAGGAGTGCAGAACATAGCTAAATAAGAGGGAACTTTCCAAAACAGTTTAGATAACATTCCTTTTCAGGGAAATGCGTTTTAGTTGCAAAAGCATGAAATATGTTTTGACTTTCACATCGCGCTAAAGCTTGCTTGAAGTTATAATTCTACTACGTTATACCGAAAAATCGGCAGTGAAGTAGAACCAAGACATACCAACAGTAAAACGTCACATTTTTCGTTATGACGCAGCGTCCCATGGACTCCGAGAGAATGCAGACACCTTCTTAGAAGACCGCCTAAGCGATGGGAGGGGTGTTTGTTGCTAACGTCAACCATTTGCATCAAGAGATCACAACGAGTTTGCAGTCATAGAGTGGTTTTCGCGTACGTTCCGTAGTTGAAATAGACCATTACTATATGAACGAAAGCTGCGCAAGATAAAGAGGATGGAAACTATGTTAGGGCCCTCACTACCAGCCCGCACTGGATATTCTTATCCAAGTAAGCAAGTGAAACGTGCTATGAAGCACTTCACAAACTTACCGATGCATCAAAAACTGATATATTTCAGGCTTTCGAATGGTAATAAAAGCATAGACTGTGAAAAAAAATGATATATAACAGATAAATTATATCACTTTCCGCAGCGATACTGTTTCCCTTCTGGAATTCAGGGGACTCTTAGCATATGGTAGTTGCTCAAAAAAAAACCTAACAAAAGTCTTCTTTACGTTTGCAGTTACGATCTTCGCGGAAATAGATTATGAACGAAAATTTAGTTAGCAGGCAAAATTTCAGAAGCATAATACATGTGGGAAGTACACGTGTTTTCCTTCTTTCACAGTGTTAAAAAAATGGGCTTTCCTGTATGGCTATGTAGAGCGGTAGCTAGAGATTCAAGATTTCGAATGATTATTAGGAGTACTATGCAAATTCTTTCTTCTGCAGGAAAGGTCGATTTTTTTATTTGTTCCGCGATAATAGATAACAGGAAAGCGATTGCGTCATTTGTGTGTGGTCTTAGGAATGTAAGCTAAGTGTGGTTTGCACGTTGAATCATTCGATTCAATGCAAGCGGTGCCTTCTCCCTAATAATTTTCCCTTTTTGAGCTCATGTAAAGCAGTGGTTAGAAATGCCTTTCCTTCAGCAGCATGTGATCTGTGGTTCGTCACCCCTCCCATACTCAACATGCCCTCTATTCTTGTGTGGTCGGTAGATTGGTGCCAGATTTCTCTGGGAAAATAGCTGTCCTCACCTAATCGACCACCGGGAGTAATTGCAGGTGCCAGATATGCACTGGCAGGGCATCGACTCAAAGCATATTGCTCAAACATGCGTCAGTGTCTTTACGGTTGTGCATATGCTGACATTCAAAAAAACTCAAGAGCTTTGTAGCGAGCTGCGTAGCAAGATCTAACTCAGTTATGATGTTGAATGACTTCATATAACATCATGAAGGGTGCGGGCTAAACATGACGGAGAGATTTGTTCAGGAAATAGAGAATAATATAATCTACTCGTGATGTGCTCGAAGGTGTTTTTCCTAGGCCGTGTTCTAATGACATTTCGTGTTGTTTGTGTTACTTCATATCAAAGTCTAGACAGCGTGAGACAAAGCAATGCGAGTCTAGGACTCGAAAGTTTAATGGTGATGAGATTCACATCTAATTCTGCAGCAGTCCAATGTGTCCTCTTAGCCAGTATACTGTACATTACTACCGGCAAAGTGTCTGCATAAGTGTTTCCATATAGCGCCTGTCACTGTTGAAAAATTAGAAAGTTGTCTTAGAAAGTTAATAATGATCAGTATGTGCCGTTCTAGTGGTTTATTTGAATTAAGGAAATTCTCATCTCACTGAAAATCCAGTTTATTTACCTATCATTAACCTCTGGGGGACCAACCTCACAAGGAAGACGGCGTCGCGTCGTCGCATGCACGACAATCATGCAAATGGCATCTGCATGTCTGTCTTGCTTGGCTGCTTGCGTGCTTTCCCATGAGACACGACGCCACAGTAACTGAGTGAGATTTGACGCCGTGTGGCTTGATACGAAAAGCATCATGTGGTCCCTGAAAGGTTAACCAACATGTTCGCGACAATGCGCACTGATATCGCTGCGTGTGGGGTGAAAGTAGTTCTATTTTTCAGCATTAAACAGAAATATCTTGGTTAATGGCGAAAAGCTGTTGAGATCATAGTTATATAGTAATGGTCTTCGCTAGTTAAATACTGATTTTCTTACCGTGGCCATGAAAGTTTCAGTTTCTGGAGCTCATGAAGCTTTTTTACATTCTTTTCTAGAAACTCCGTGCTTGAGCAGCGAAGCGGTTGCAAAAGTAGTATTTTGATACGGCAACGTCACCTATTGATAATATTTAGCACTTTCGCGCTTGTATTGAAGATTTTGATTTTGTTTTGAGCTTGAAACTTTCAGTTTTGAGCAAGCTTTTGACTGAATTGGTAATTTAGATACACAAGTTTTCAGCGTGTGGAAATTAAATTGTAGGCAGTTAACAAAGCAAACGTTAAAATTAGCCAAAAATCCATCCAAAGGGCTTGGGAACTCCAAGACGTAATTGCGAATTGCATCTCTTCTACTTTTAGTTCTGTCACATTATCACTGGTTGCATAAATTCAGGATGTACAAGGTGAACGTCGCGTAGTTACCAGACCAACAGCCGTGTCAGCTTAAGGAAACGCAACAAATGCATGCCAGTCTCAGACGTGGTTAAATTTATCCGTTTTCATCAACAAGATATTACCCAAATCAAAAGATCAGTCTTATCCAAGAGCATATTCAAACGGAAAGGAACACCAACCGCCCATGTTTGGTGTCAAAAATTGAAATCAACCAAACCGGCCAATATCAAGATCCAAAACAGTCTGATGCTCTTCAGAGCAAGGTATGACTTGTTTTCCAATAGATGGGTAAATTTTTGATGTTTGGTTTTAGCATATAACATCAAAAATGCTTACGGATTATTTTATCAAGATATCGATATTTCAAATGAATTATTCGCAAAAGAAAAAAAATCCTATAGCTATATTCAATTTATCGGTTCCTGCAAACCGTCGTTCACGAGTGGAGGGCTGAGTTTTGAAGGTTATTGCCTGTCCTGGTGAATTATTTCTTAGCAACGTTGAAAATGTAGTTGAACTTGCTTTGTGTTTCTGAACCAAAAACGAAACATCATTGTAAATTCTGATTCATTTCCTGTATCTACTGAATTTTGGAAATTCACTTTAGACTCTTCAATTCTTCGTTGAAACAACATGACATTGCGAGCTATCATAATTTTCCAGTCTAAACACATGGCGAATGTCGCTCCTAAGCCATCAACTCTATCCATCGATGGTGTTCTCGAGCCGACTCGATTGCCTATCAATGCTCAGTCAGAACAACGACATCCAACACAAGCACGTTCTGCGATTCAGAACTCTAAGTTGCCGTATATACTTGTTTCAGTTAGATTTTTTGTAAAAGACCGAAAAGGTGATGGTAAGTTCTAGTGGTTTTACTGATGCAGCAGATCTTAATATTAAACTTTATCCAAAACGCTTCCAAGATCTTCCGCGCTGATGTTTTTTTGCTCCTGCGCAAAGGACGCTTGTCAGCTAGGTGTTCTTCTATGCGTACATAGAGCGGCCTACCCGTTTCGCCAACATATTTATCACTACACGCTTTGCAAGAGATTAGGTAGACTGTACCTACGCTCATGCAATCACCGTCTCTGCCGTTAGGACATATTTTACAATCTTTCATCATACAGAGACGGTCATATAAGCGGTTGCGAACTAGTTGGCGTTTTAGAGTATTCGGTGGTATTTCAGTAATGGCCACCGATTGCTCTAAACCCGCTCTTTTCAAACATCGTTTTATAGCTGCACTAATCTCATTTGAATAGAACGGGATGATAAACGGGACTTTCCTTTCAACTAAGTTTTCGTTTGGAGGCGCATTATTTCCTCTAAGCCTAAGCCGAGGGGCTACAACTTCGTATCCATTAGAAGTGGCTATTTCTCTAGCCAATTTCACGGATTCTACTCTTTTAGCCTTTCTTTGGGGGGGGAACGACCTACTGGACTTGTCGTTCGTTCTTATGTAATACTTCAATATCACTAATTTATGCTTTTCTTGGGACTTCGTATTTCTCAAATGTACGTGTCTTCCAGACTATCTTGAGAAACGTGTTGGAAAATCGCAATCCCACAATGCCTGAGCTCGAGAATCAACAGCAGAAGCCGCTATTCAGTCTTTCAAGCAGTCCTGTCATGACATCTTGGATGGCTGGACTTTATTTTGGCATAGTGACTCCACCTTTTTAGTGGAGATGTTTCATAATTTTTTGAAGCATAAGCACCAATAACTAACTATCTAGACTGCGTACCTAAATTGAGTGGTGAGCGAAAGCCCGGTCTCAGGCGGAAATCGAACCCGCGTTTCAACCATACCGGAGACACGCTACTACCATTACACCACAAAGACGCTTTTGCGCCATCACTCATTCTTTAGCATCTCTCGGATCAGCAACAAATCTTGCCAACTTTGCTCTGAAAAAACGGCATTTCCTAGCGCTTTCGGAGCAAGATCGTATATTTTTAGAGGATTCTTCACGTCCCTTCGCACTGTTGTTTAAACACCGCTTCCACATTCTCTAATTTCCATCATCTAAGTATGGATTTAGAATGGTCAAGCAATTTGTACTCCAAATTTCTTTTAACCATAATTTTCAATTTTCAATCGATGTAAATCACATTGGATTTTAAGAAGAGGGGCAGCGTCGTCGTCAAATCATGAACCGTGTGGAAATGGAGTACTTCCGCCAAAACTGGAACCGTTCGTGCCTTATGAGCTGGAAGATGGGGTGGATTCACCTAACCTCCTTTATCCTCTATCTGTGTGTATTATAAAACAACTATTTTATCGTTTGCTTCTTATCGAAATATTAAGTGTTTGCTGACATTCCAGCATATGGAACATTTTTAGGATTATTGTCGTATGCGGAAAGAAAAGGGAACATCACCATCAGCTAGTGGAAGCCACTTAACACGTGAGGAGGAAATGAGAAATCTTTATTCTGATGCACCTTTCGAAGGTTAGTTTTTCTGTGTTCGTCTAGATTAAATCTTTGGATACTGTACTGTATTTTCCGGGTTCACAATTATTCAGAAGCCGTTTTCACTTTTTATTGCATTTTCACATGACTTTCAATAGTCAATCGATAGTACGGGAAACGGTGATTTTAACATTGTGCTTAATTTCTGAGAAGATTTTTTTAAAGTGGGTCTTAGCATCCAAGAGAATATCACGCTTCACATTCGGCTAGCATTGCTTGCATGGCTGGCATTTGTGCTTAGCTTTTCAGTAGACCTCCAGAACATATTTGATTGATCAAAAATGGTATTTTTGGAACTGGATTTTGTGTCTAGGAAGTCTCCATAGTGCGCTATTGTAAGGAAATGAGACTTAAGTTTCAGCGTCGGAGTTTTCCTCAAACACAGGAGTCATACATGCACCAAAAGCATATGAGCGTGTAAAAAAATCGTGGCGTATCAATGTAAAAAGTAATTTGAAAATTTTTTGTAAAGGAAAAGAAATTTCCGAATAGTTATCAAAATTCGCACGTTTTCGGGAGGCACTTGAAATTGTGCAGACTGCGCTTGAGGGTTACTGATGAAGTTTAATCGCTTGCAGTGTAAAATCTCAATTTCTGCAAACCATTCATAGAATTTTAGATCGTTATGTTGACTTTGGATATTTTTTATAAAAGAGATATCAGAACATAGGGCTTTCTATCACAGTTTTTTTTGTACAACTAATTGCAAATGACTGAATGCTAAAGCGGTATGATTGCGTAATGAACGAGCACTTTTTCTCCATACATAAAGGTTTTATGTGCACAAAAAATAAGGGAGGTATGTAGAAAACCATAAAAGCATCCAAGCGATAACGGAAATCTGGAAATTTTAGATAGTGGAGAAAAACTCCCAATTATATACGAATATCGCGCAGCACTTGCGATTTGTGCTGTACACAACGAATTCATCTGCCGTCCGTTCCGAAGGGGATAGAAGCATCACAAGTGCTGTCATTGTAGTCAACTATTCCTGAAATTTTTTTCAGTCAATCCCGCTGTTTCTTAGAAGTTCGCCTTATGCCCCTCGATCTCCGCCGAAGCCTTTCCTTAGACAAGACATGTGTAAAAAAAGTGTTGATGTGGCAATTTTCAATTTATATTGTGCTGTTTTGAGTTTTGTTTGAGAGAGTGTTAATCCTATATGTACTACGAAAAATATGCGAAGAAGTCGAGTGGAGGATTAGAAAGTCTGAAGTTCTTCGAATATATAAAATCTAGATCAAATGTCTTATAAAATCTTAGGCTTTATATCGAGTTTTCCTTCTGCCTTGTAATAGTTTCAGTAGCAGTCTTTGCGTAAAGACGTTAAGGTAGCAAAATAATTTGTGCTTTTACTGAATCAAATATGCCTTATCACGTAATAGTATCCTGTGAAACATTATCAAAACTAAAATTCAAGAGCAGCATTGCTGTCTCATCTTGTTATGAATCTGGATTGTATGTGATTTTCTGTCAAGTACGGACTAATCTATCAACACAGTAATAGTCACATTGAACCACACATTTTGGAGAATCTTCAAATAGACTTTTGCAAATTACTATATCATGAATAGTAAATTTTTAAAGCGTAAGGGATAGAAACTATCTGACGTGCTGATTGAGTCTTCTGAAATATAACATTAATAAAACTTTCAATCAAACGAAGTACCTCCATCCTATTAAATCGATAGAAAGGAATCTGGTAGCCCCCAAAGAGTACAATTGGCCGTCATCACTCCAAGTAAATAACTTAACCTATAAAATGTAGAAAAGTATTCAACCAAAATTGCTTAGAATTCTTGGCAGTAAATTATATTCTTATTTTAGAAAGTGATTACGCCAACGGCGTCCGCCGTTCCCATGCAAGCTAACGAAAGCATAATGCGTTACTTACAGAACCCGCGTAAGTTTCAAACGTACTTGCAACGCTATACAAAATTCTTTTTTCTCTTTTCAGCTCAAAACGCTTTCAAACAGATTCATTTTTAACTTAACACTGGTGCCACATACTATATAATGTTTAATAAGATTTATCTGGTGTTGCGCAAGATCTCCTTTCAATCTATCAGTTACTTAACTCAAACCCGTGTCCCCCGACAATTCGAGTAAACAAGAAAAACATTCAGATATGCGGCTCTACTGAAATCTAATTACTACCATGTAACGTCAGTCGACGATGATGGCAAGAGTGCTTGCTGCGGTAACTTTAGTATGTGAAAGGTTTAATTTACTCCAAAAGATCTTTGCCCTAGTTGAAACTTTGTGTTTGATTGCAAGTATCTTATAGTTTTGTTGTGTTTCAGATTGCGACTTTTTGATGAGAAGGAAAAGTTCCTCAAGAGCAAGTTCTGCGCAATTATCCCATTTCACCCGAAATATACCGGAGCCGACTATTAAGTAAGCAGTAAATGAAATTTTGAGACAGTGATATTGCACACCTAAATTTTCCAGAATTTCAATTGATTAGAACAGGTGTTTCATATAGTAGCAATGCTTTTTTTCTGTTGATGTTTCTGTAGTTTTACAAAAAACGTTGTTATTGTTGAACTAAATTTCTTGTAGACGGTGAACGCTGGTTCGAAGCCATTTAAGTATTGCTTCTATCTCTGCAGTCTACAGCCAGATTCTTGTCAATAAATTATTTCGATAAATAACATGTTCAGCTGCAGTGAAAGTATTCTATGACTTCATAATCACGAAGACAACTCTCGGTAGTAGATAGTTCTCTACAGAATTTCAAGCGGTTTCTTCAGCATAAGCAAAATCATACTTTGATAAGACGAATAACAACACGTTCCTGAAGTAACAAGACTATAGATACATTCATGAGCATAGAAGTTCGAGTCTGGCCAATGTTAACAATACCTTTTAAAGACCAAAGGCCCTTGGCTTATTATTGCCATCAAGCGACGGCCTAAGTTCTAATGTGTGCACGTTACAAAGTTGCTTTATGATGCTCACCTACAATGACATCGGAGTATCTTTATGAAACACCGCTTTTCCTTCGTTTTAGTAAGTGCTGATCACATATCATTTGATAGGAAAGCCCACATTTTTGCAAGAGTAGAAGAATAGTGCTGAAATAGAATCCACATCAAGAAGCTACACCATCATACAAAAGTCGCGATCTCTCGTCAGTAGTTTCGTATCACCGTCATTTTGTGTTAACTCCGACCACAGCTTAAATCATCAAGTTCATTCATCCAATATACTTCCATGAGATAAGAGAGAGAAGTTGTCCGACAGCAGGACCGAAACATATTAGAATATGGCAGAAACACCGATATGTGCTGGAAAGTAGTACATCTTTCTTACTGTGGCATTGACCATTGGGACCGACTTTCGCATTAGGTGTACAAATATGACTTCGACGCTTTTCCTTTCGCAATAGTAATAATATATATGTCCGAACTCTTTTCTTATTTTAAAATGCGCTACGAACGCTTTTTATTCATTTATTTTTTATATGCAAAATATTTTATATGATGGTTTTGTGAGACTTTGAAAGGTGACTTTTGTTTTCGGAAAACGCCATTTTTTAGAAATTTACTAGTTTTTGACATGAATTTGGTAGTTCCAAATTGTAAACTGGCGGTGCAATACGGAGAAAGTAAGGCGGATAAAGCGGAACTTATAAAATCTCCCATCTCAGCTTTTTTATGACGTCTTCTTCGGCGCTTGTAGCATGAAGTCGAGCGTTAATATGGTGCTGAATTGCAATGATCTTTCCGTTTCGGTTTTCTTGACATGATTTTCCAATGAAATTGCATGATCACCTTGGAATCGTTCGTTGAGCATTTTCTTGCGAGGACTTTGGTATAGTACTTTCCTTTACTTCTTCAAAAATAAAGGTCGCTCCAAATTCCATTGATCTAGTGCACTGTGTCACTAGCATTTTCTCGTATGTGCCATTCGAGCATGAGTAATAAGCGATTTTCTTTCCTAGACAGCTCCACCTTGAAGATATTGTAGGTAGATATATACTAAAATTTTGACAACAAAACACGCAATTGAGCGACACCAAAGCCAAGCTATCAATATTACTTTAAGCTAATGAATGTGCAAAGTGAAGTTCACGCAAATGCAGTTGTCGGATGCGAAAGTAATCATCAAAGTCCATCAAGGATATTTTGTCGTATAAAAAAGTCCCATAATAAAAATACATGTAGTATGTCTTGAGTTATTTTTGGTCATCCGGGGCAAATGGATATTCGATTTCATTGCTGGCCAAAAACTTCCCATAAGAGTGTTAGTAGTTCTTCAGAAGCTCAAATCTCTGGCTAGCGTTGTATTTGAGTGTTTTTCTTTTTGAAAAATTCTTCATTATAACGCCTCGGCGAAAGTACTTTTTACCACTTTTTCATTTGTT